TCTGTCACTATCATTGGATGAGAAAACGATGATAGAGATTTTCTTCAAAATCTCATCGAATTTTTTGTCATGACAGAACGTGACAGTGTTGCGATCATCGTAATTACTAGCTCATTTAATGCTATTAAAGTTACTTTTTTTATAATTACTTTATTTGTACAGGCTCAATCGAATAAACTTTACAGAGCCGAGTTATCTTTTGCGTTATACATTATTACTGTCTTAAATTTAAAGTTAAAGGAACTGGACCGAGTACTCGCGGTTGTCTCGAGGTTAGTGGGGATTTACAATTTTTTGGATGGGAAAAGGGAAGAAGGAGGTTTGAAATGTGGTTTACGATACAACTATTTAATTAATCCTAAAGCATGAAATTATTTCTATTCATCTTGAAAACAAACATTAAAAAAAAAACCCACACGTACAAAATACAAACTAAACACAAGGTTAATCAAACTTACAATCTAAGGTTAATATCCTTAAAGTAAATATATATGAGTTTCATTAACTCCAGATCGCGTCTAGCCAAAATATCCCGAACTGGAACATTAGGTTGTCTACCTCGAGCCCGAAGGGAATCATAAAAATGTGATCTGACTCCACGATACTCCGCACAAGACCAAAGGATGTGATCAGCGTCCTGGTAACCTTGTCCACATTCACAGAGATTGCTGTCTCCCAACCCCACACGGAACAAGTGAGCGTTTAGACAATAGTGATTGGACATGAGACGAGACATCACGCGTATGAAGTCTCGACCCAAGTCCAACCCTTTGAACCATGCAAACTTCGACACCTTAGGGATAATTGAATGTAGCCATCGTCCCAAGCTCCCTTCACTCCATTGATGTTGCCAGCTAACGAGCGACTGCTGACGATAAATAGAGAAAAATTCACTATAGGCGATTTGTTGATCATAAATGTCGCCTTCCATAGCGCCCACCTTCGCAAGTGAATCCGCCTTCTCATTGCTCAAAATTGAGCAATGCGAAGGGACCCACGCGAAGGTGATGATGAAAGAGCGCACGGATAAAGCACTAAGCAGTTCTCGTATTTTCAAGAGAAAATACGAGAAGTGCTTTACCGGCCTAATGGAACGGATAGCCTCGACAGAACTGAGACTATCCGTAAAAATAAAGTAGTGGTGTGGAAGAAGTGAAGCAATAATTTCCAAAGTGTAGTGAATTGCTGCCAGTTCAGCCACATACACAGAACAAGGAGCTTCAAGTTTTCGAGAGGCGCTATGAAATTCATTAAATACACCAAAACCAGCGGACTCCTCTATTAGAGATCCATCTGTGAAAAACGTTCTTGCAGAATCAACATGGCTAAACTTTGCAGCGTATAATGACGGAGCAATCATAGGACGATGATGCTCTGGAATTCCGCGGATTTCCTGCGTCATTGATAAATCAAAATTCACTGAATTGCCGAAATCGGAGAAGACTACACGATTGGGAATATTTCTTGAAGGGCTGACATCCTGTGTTAAATATAGGTAGTACAAAGTCATAAAACATGTTTGAGGATTTAGCTCCAGAAGCTTCTCAAAGTTTTCGATCATCAGTGGGTTCATTACTTCGCAACGGGTGAGGAGCCTCAGAGATAACTCTGAAAAACGGACGGATAGTGGCAACATGCCCGCCAGCACTTCGAGACTCATAGTATGAGTCGAGTGCATGCATCCTAACGCGATACGAAGACAACGATACTGGATCCGTTCCAGCTTGATGATGTGCGTTTTAGCTGCCGACTGGAAACAAAAACTACCAAATTCTAGAACCGATAAAATCGTTGTCCGGTACAACGTCAGAAGATCTTGTGGATGGGCTCCCCACCACGTTCCGGTAATTGATCGAAGGAAATTGATCCTTAGTTGGCATTTTCGTCTCAGATACTCAATGTGGGATCTCCAGGTGCATTTGGAATCGAACCAGACCCCGAGATATTTAAAAGACATGGAATGAGTGATCGGTTTACCCAAAAGTTGAAGCTTCGGTTGTGCTGGGCTATGCTTCCTAGAAAAAACGACCAACTCAGTTTTCTCCGTGGAGAATTCGATACCTAGCTGAATAGCCCAAGTAGACAAATTGTCCAGGGTATCCTGTAAGGGTCCTTGCAGGTCAACCTCTTTTGGCCCTGTGATAGACACTATGCCATCATCTGCAAGTTGTCTCAACGTGCAATTGTCACTAAGACAATTGTCAATTTCTCTAACGTAGAAATTGTACAAAAGGGGGCTTAAACATGAGCCTTGGGGGAGACCCATGTAGCTAAATTGAAAAGCTGTAGAGTTTCCATGAGAAAAGCTCATATGTTTTTCTGACAGCAAATTGTACAAAAAATTATTCATTAATGGAGACAATCCACAAGCGTGGAGTTTCTCTGAAAGAATTCAACGGATACTGAATCAAAAGCCCCCTTGATATCCAAGAACACAGAAGCCATTTGCTCTTTCTTAGCAAAAGCTAACTGAATTTCCGAGGAAAGCAACGCGAGACAGTCGTTCGTTCCCTTACCCCTACGGAAACCAAATTGAGTATCTGAAAGAAGGTGGTTCGTCTCAACCCATTTGTCGAGGCGAAAAAGGATCATTTTCTCCATCAATTTCCGAATACACGACAGCATCGCGATGGGCCGATACGAATTATGATCCGACGCGGGTTTATCAGGCTTTTTAATGGCTATCACCCTCACTCGTCTCCAATCGTCGGGAACAATATTGAGCTCCAAGAACTGATTGTACAAGTTCAACATGCGCCTCTTAGCGACGTCTGGGAGGTTTTTCAGCAAGTTGAACTTGATTCTATCATATCCCGGGGCAGAATTGCCACACGAAAGGAGAGCGAGTGAAAGTTCCACCATTGAAAAAGGGTGACTGATTTCGTCTACCGAATTCGCGGTTTCGCGAGGAATCAACTGTGACGGCACGGAATCCGGACACACTTTTCGCGCGAATTTAAGAATCCATTGATCCGAGCATTCCTCGCTTTCGTTGTTAGTAGACCGGTTACGCATTCTTCGCGCCGTACTCCAAAGCGTATTCATAGACGTTTCGCGCGACAATCCGTCTACAAACTGCCGCCAGTAACCCCGTTTTTTGGCCTTGATGAGGCTCTTGAGTTCGCGTTCAAGAGATGTGTATGCGTCGAAATGCTCGCGTGTTCCGCGTTTCCGAAAAAGTTTAAACGCGTCGGACTTTTTACGGTAAACCTCCGTGCATTGTTGATCCCACCAGAGCGATGGTGTTTTCTTACGGATTGACGATCGCGGCACCGGTCGTGTTTGAGCTTGAAGTGCGCTGTCGACGATGAGATTAGAGAGGAAATTATATTCCTCCAACGGCGGAAGCTCTTCCACTGACGATACTGTATCGTCTATCGCGGATTGGAACTTAGTCTAATCGATGTTACGGGTTAGATCATACGCGACGTTAACGGATTCTGACGAGTTGAACCCACTGGCAATCGAAATTTTGATCGGCAAATGATCACTACCGTGCGGATCCTGGATTACATGCCAAGTGCAATCCAACGATAGTGAATTGGAGCAAAAGGTGAGGTCTAATCTGCTACCATTCGAGGATGGACCAGCCAAACGTGTTACTTCTCCATTGTTAAGTATTGTCATGTTGAAGTTGTCGCAGAGATCATAAATCAAAGTAGAACGGTTATCATCGTACAGCTCCCCCCAGCCTGTACCGTGGGAGTTAAAATCTCCCATGATCAACCATGGAGCGGGAAGTACCGCACATATGTCGAAAAGTTGTTTGCGATTAACAGAGACTCTAGGAGCAATATATACAGAAGCAATACAAAGGCTCTTACCTTTAATGGTAGCCTGACATGCGACAACTTCAATACCGGGGAATTCGGGAAGATTCACTCTATAGAAGGAATGGCACTTTTTGATCCCCAAAAGTACCCCTCCTCCACGTGAATCCTCACGATCCAATCGAATAATGTTAAAATCAAAAAAAGGGAGATCAATTTCTGAAGAGAGCCATGTTTCACAGAGGGCAAATGCATCGCAATTTTTGTTATGGACTAAATACTTGAACGAATCTAATTTCGGAATAAGACTTCGACAATACCACTGTAGAACAGTGATCAAATCCCCGACCTCGTTTGGAAAATTATCCATCGAAGGAGATGATAGCTGCAAGAAGGGGCCATTTTGAAGTCAATTGCTTCAAGAAGGATTTCACAGTGGGAAGCAATGTGAGGACAATGCTTTTCAGAGGATCAGAAATGTTGAGGTATTTGAGAATACCGTCCACAACGGCATCAAATGAGAACAACCCAGATGAAGAAATGGTTTCTGTTCTTAAAATTGGGGCATCAGGGGTTTTGGATGTCCCCGGAAGAGGTGGAAAATCCTGGGTATAGTCAGTTCTGCGGAATCCAGGAGGAGTAGAAGTCTCCTTTTTTCCACCACTCCTTGATTTGGGCAAGCTGATTTGGGGTTCTTTATTTGCAACAATCATTAAAGTTACTTGTACCGAGGAAATCTTAATAATATATTCACTCTACCGATTACATATGGTTGTTTGCTTAAATTCATCTAAATCAGTTAGAAATATTGATGTCAAAACCGCATAAGAATAATTCTCATGAGTGCTTGATCATTGAAAAATTACAAGAAAGTTAATGATAGGTAGTTTCGTCTCGTTATAGTGAGAGGACCTGTTTTCTCATCGTCACATGACGGCCGTGATATTTACCAGCTCTGATTGTGGAGCGAAAATTTCAAATTTTGCATCACTCTAATGTCTATATACTATGTAGAGTACCTACCTATTTCCATGGATATCATGATATTATATTTTATATGACGGATATATCCACCTGCGCTTAAACCGTAAACCAGGTTTAACTCCTTAGTTGAAATATGAGCGCTGGTGAAGAAATCGGTTAACAGGAATCAAAGACTTTTCGAAAATTAGGATTTAAAAATAGTTATATAAAAAGTTTACAAAATTTATTCAATTTCTTTGGCTCCGGCTTACAATATATTTAGGTTAAACATCAATCTTTATCGTCGACCTCCTCACAATCTATTTCACTGGAAGAATCCGTTGGTAGCTCGTTGGGGTTGTTTTGGACTCCATCGACAAATTTCGGAAATTCTCCCGTAGATCTTGTAGCAATCTGGGCGTCCAGTAAAGTACTGGGATTGCCAAAGGCTCTTTCCAAATCCGCAATTCCCGAACTAGTGCTGACGGGTGAGAGTTCTCCGTTCACCAGTTCCGTAGGGCCGAATTTTTGTGGCATACCATAATAGCCGTCGATCATATCCGGTGGAGTTTTGTAAAAACCCGATGATTCCTCTAGAGACATTGGTTTAAATGCGGTGACAGGGAAGCGATTTACGGCATAAGATGGAGGTTGTGGTGACGAAATAGTCGACTTTGGGAGGTAGTTCACGGTGTAGCCATTACTGGGACGACTTGCAAAAGCTGCTGGCCCAACTTGCGTGGGTGGAATAGGCTGGAATTGCCTCATAGCTGGATGAGTTGCACTAAGGTGGGGAGGTGTGTTTAGTAGAAGCGATTGAACCGGAGCGGGCCCGTTTGGAGTTTGGCTGAAGAGCCACAGTCGGTCGCCAACCACCATCGGGCGGGCGAAGTTTCCGATTCCCAGTTGGGAGTAGTAGTGCGACGCCAACTGTTCGACATCGGATGTGTACTTTCGTTTCCATTTGGTCCGTCGATTTTGGAACCAGATCTTGATTTGCGTTTCAGTCAGATGTAAAGATTTGGCTAATGCAGTTCGTTTCGCTACCGACAGGTATTTTCCACGCTCAAATTCTGTTTCCAATGCTTTGATCTGAGCGGCAGAGAAGGCAGTTCTCGGCCGTTTCTTACGATCGTCTGATGTTCCTGTGGAAGATGCAGAAAAAAGAAAACCGTTAGCCTGATGCGCTGAAAATCAATTGACCTGCTGAACTAAAAATACTGATGAAAAACGCTAATTTTAGAGTTGCTTCGTTTTGTAAAAACGTGTTTAACAGAATGAATATTTCTTCTTTTCGACAGCAACGCTATTTTTCGGTAAGAAAAAACCCCATTTCGGTCGCCGAAAAGTCATCAATCATTTCTAAAAGGCATTTAATCGTTTTCTAATTGCCTTTAAACATCACAACGTCGTCAACTGTCGTCTACGTGGCGCATGACGATAGAAGTCATGGACTACAAATAAAGTGGAAAAGTGACTATCTTGCATTAGTTCACAGAGAGATACATATGATTTAAAATTTAATAAAACGAATTTAAATAATACAAGACATATTGTCGCACTTATGTTAAATTCTCATTTGGTGATAGTCGAAGCGCACCGCACCGCGCTGCAACCCCACCCATGAGGATTCCACACAGGTGTGACCTTAGATAGTATTTTATGGCAGCGGCTTGAGGAGCGTATCCTAGAGAAAGAGGTGCCGTGTGTTGGGCGCAGTCGTACCATAGAGGTAACTCTAAGACTAGAAGGTCTCGAAGAAACGTGCTCAACTTTTTGGCTCAGCTCTGGTACTCTCTTTGGTCCCAAGCTAATGGATGCACTCCTTGAAACATAGGAAAATCCATGAACCCCTAATTTTATCAGTCAAACTTTCATAGCAAATCAAAAAATACATAGTGTAGTACTAGAATGTTGACTAGAATGAGGTAAGTTGATCGATTTGCTTGGGACAAATAGGCTAGTCAAGTAGTGAGCCAATTTAAAATTGTTAGTTTCAACCGGTGGTACAACTTTACCTCACATACAGTGTATCAAAAAATTGCCCCTATGCTTGAATGGACAACTTTTTGAATCACAGCGGAATCTAGGCTGGATTTATCGGCATAGTTTTTAGACTTGATTGGCAGAGCCTGTATGTAATTTGAGCAATTTCAGTAAAACACGCAATTTTAAGCTCTTTTTTAGTAGTAGACGGCATCAAGTAAAATTAGCTGCATAAAAATATCTTTATTATGACTATAAGTGAGTAGAATGTCAAATAGTTTAGTTCATTAATTAAAAAAGGTTTTGTTTTAGAATAAAACGTTTTGACGTAGAACTACGTCTTTGTTGACTATACTGGGGTGCAAATCAAAAAATATGTGTGGTGAAGGAGTGTTAGATTTTGAACGCTTGTAACTTTGTCATTTATAGATGAAATTTAAATCCAAATACGCCAATCGATAGGATATTACATTACAAACCTGCTGGAATTTTTTTTTCTTCCAATTTTTCTGTAATTAAACTTTTGAAAATGTACAAATGATAATTTTATCGCTGTTTTCATGAAATAAGCCTTTTTCCCAAACCCAGTCATCATAAACGAATACCACTTGGTTGCACATCATTCTGCTTGAACCTGAAAAGATATAAATCAGCACTGCTCTCCTGCCTCTGCTCATTACCGTTTCGGACGGCGTGGCACTAGGTCCTGCAGCAAGCAGGACCAAGTCAGGTGCCAAAGGTGGATCACGGCGTATTCACCACATTGAGGAATGATACTTGAAAAAACGTGCATGTATAACCCCCTCCCCCTTAACATAACCCGAAAAAGACATGGACTTTGACAATCATTTTTTTCCGGGAAATAAATTTTAAGCAAAGCAGAATTATGTATAAACAATTAATTTTTTACATGCCGAGCCAAAATTTTCAAAAAAAAAATCGCTTAACAGGAGACATACACTCGATTAATTACCAACAACTGATTGTAAAACATATCTGGTACCTCTATATATGCAAATATATAAACATGTATTGGTTGTGGTACAGGAATACCAATACATATAGTATATTAGTGTTTATTTTTTTAAGGGGGGGGGGAAGTATTGTAATTTTGCAGTTTTTAGTTTAACTATAAGATTTAAAAAAAAAATCATGTCAAGTGTAAAACTCAGATTCAAATAAATTCATACATGTAAAGGGTGTCCACGATGAAATTGCCACACTATGAAATTGCTCTAACTTTTTAACCGTTGGGTAGAATTTAATGATAATTTGGGTGGATTTAGTTCATAGTGCATTATTTACATCCTGCAAGTTTTAAAGTCCTGTGATCAAAACTCGCGGAAATGGAGTCGAAAGAACAGCTCGTGCGTGATAAAATCTTGCGCATTCATCACGAGAACAAGGATCTCTCGCATCGTTCCATCGCTAAAACGTTGGGAATCGCGAATTCCACGGTGTCGCGAGTGATTAAGCGGTTCGAGGAACGGTTGACCACCGATCGGAAGCCCAGAAGTGAAGGAAAAAGTATTCCGTACAACACCAAAAATCACAACCGCGTAGTTGGGGCCTTCAACCGAAATCCGAACGCCTCCGTTAGGGATGTGGCTAAGAAGCTGCACCTAAGCCGAAGTTTTGTCCAGAAGGCCAAAACTAAGGCTGGGCTTCGAACGTTCAAGGTACAAAAGGCCCCTAATCGCGACGAGAAGCAGAACAAGTCCACCAAAACCCGTGCCAGGAAGTTGTACCTCAACATGCTGACGAAAGTTGAATGCTGCATCATGGACGACGAAACATATGTGAAGGCCGACTTCAAACAGATCCCCGGCAACCTGTTTTTCACGGCCAAGGATAAGTTCAGCGTTCCGGAGCATGTCCGCACTCAGAAGATGTCCAAATTTGCGAAGAAATTCCTGGTTTGGCAAGCCATCTGCACGTGCGGGAAGCGGAGTGCACCTTTCGTGACCCAGGACACGATGAACGGACAGGTGTACATAAAAGAGTGCCTCCAGAAGCGGCTGCTTCCTCTCCTGAAGGCCCACAACGTCCCAACAATCTTCTGGCCGGATTTGGCCTTATGCCACTACTCCAAGGACGTGCTGAAGTGGTATGCGGACAATAAGGTCAATTTCGTGCCGAAAATGTTCAACCCTCCCAACACTCCGGAGCTCCGCCCCATCGAGAAGTACTGGGCGATTATGAAGCAGCACCTTCTTAAACGACCTAAGGTAGTGAAGACAGTCGAGGAACTGAAGAAAGTATGGGTTTACATGCAAAAAACGGTTGATTCACAGGTTGTGCAGAATCTTATGGCCGGGGTTAAGGCCAAGGTGCGGGCATTTGCGTATGGACTGTAAATAAAATACGAGTAAAATGGTAAAATGAAGTTTAATAGTTATTTCTCAATCCCTGAAAATTTGATGGCAATCGGATGAAAACTCGAATTTTGCGAATCAATTTTGTGTGTGGCAATTTCATCGTGGACACCCTTTAATTTTGCAGTTTTAAGTTTAACTATAAGATTTTTTTTTTAATCATGGCAAGTGTAAAACTCAGATTCAAATAAATTCATACATGTAAGGGGTCATGTACTTACTACGTAAGGGTTTATCGAGGGTTTTTCCGTCGATCTTGTTTTCCGTACTAAGTACCAATGCTACCAACCACTTCCACAGTTGGACACTACCTTTCGACTCATCAACTCATGGCCCGGGAACCAACGGCTTTACTTTCCTTCCGGCTACAGAAGGCTGTTGGGGGGTCTGGAATTCTAACTCATGACCATCCACTTGAGAAGCAAACGTGTAGCTAACTACGCCACGGGACTCTCCTCTGTGTACTTAAATCTTGGATTTGTTAGAGAAAAAAAGACTAAAATATATACGTACCCTAATTAACAAAGCACAAGCAATAAAAAATCTCAAATAGGCCACTAAATACTACAGGGGTGCACCAATAAACAAAAAACAAGTTGCAATAGAAATGAAGAAAAAACCAATAAACAAATGAAAAGCTTCTTTTAATAATTTGAATGTGAGCGGTAAAAATGGCAAAAAGGGCAATAGTAAATACAATACGCTCAATTAAATAAGGATGAATCTCCACTAAATTAGGAAATTTGAGCACTAAATAACTCACTTTCTTCACCTGCAGTTGAACATATTTTCCCATAAAAGTGGCAAAATGAGCAATACCATATTGAATAACCGCAATAAATAAATCTAAAATGTCCCACACAAAGCGCACAGTTATCACTTTTTTAATCCAATTATGCTGTAAAATCGTGATTATTTCCCCAAGAAAAAAAAAATGAAAATATCTTTTAAAAACTGAAAAAGTTCCAGGAACCAGGAGATAAATGTATGCTTGAACATGAGGATGAGCCATCGTAAAATATGAATCGTTCTTAAAGAAAAGAAAATAATTCATGCAGGAAAGTAAAAATGAGCAATTAAAAAGGAACACTGCGCAATATAAAATAAAACAAAATTCCAATGATATTCAGGAAATATTCCTTTAAATTGAAAGTTTATGAGCCAATAATCCAGATCAATTTCCATATGGTATATTCAAGACAGCGATAAGTAGTGATACTGTGTCTTGGCTAACAAAGTCGATGTCGATAATGAAGATTAAAGAATGTGGGTCTCATTGAAAAAGGTACCATTAAACAAAGTCAAAAGAGCACTAAAAACAGCTGTTTGAGCAAAATATACGGCACAAAAGAGCGCTAGAAAATGCCATTTGAGCAATATAAAGGTAAAAAAAGACACAAAAAGCAGAATGAATGTCCCAGGGAAAATTTCAAAAACGCTCAACAAAAAATAAGAAATGGGCAAGAAACGTATAAAATTAGCACTCTGAAAAATAAATTGAGCATTTTATAGGCCATGAAGGTCACTAAGAACGAAAACAATATCTCTTGAAAACCTGCAAATCTTCATCGAACCATAGACAAACAGACATAACACTCGCATATTGTACATCGAACACGCATTTACCGGTCAATTTAAATATGTGTTAGTTGATAACACCTCCGCCGGTGGCCCCCATAGTTAATTTAATCTTGCCTTCATTTGATTGTTGTTAAAAAATGAGGCGATAGTTCGATCACAGTCAAACAGACATAACACATCGAATAGTTTCCACTGTAAACCAT